GCGTTTAGGACGCATTTTATGGAAAAAAGCAAAACGAGCTCATGCATCAAGGAGTCGAACCTTGATGTCGTGCCTATCAGCCCACCACCCTATCCCCTAGGCCACCGTTTGCACAGGTAAGGCCCTTGTTCGGCTCGGTGATCAGTTCAGCGCAGTGGTATAACACAGGGAGGCCCCGGTCCCGTAACTTTGTTCCCAGAATCGTTTCATAGATTTGAGATCAGCGTTCGAAACCACCTACGGGGGTATACATCTCATCTTGAATGGCCACTGCGACCAATTATCCTTCCCTTGTAAGTGCATTCTAACAGATCGTCACGCTGGCTAACGCGTTCGAGCTGATTTCGCAATATTGTCACATTTCGAAATTTTTGTCACACGACTTTCTTGCCGATCAACATATCAAAATTTTATGTGACAAAGGGCCATAAACCAAATGAATTCGAGTTAAGCCCTCTAGGAGTCTATTCAGCTTCAACCAAGGTAGTCGTCCCCTGTATTTCGTTTTACGCATCACATTCACTTAGTATTATGTGCACACTTAAGTACCAATGCTTTGCGTTATTGGAATATTCAGTTCGCGTCGAAATTCGCTTGACAGTAGTGTGAACTGGAAATGCGAACTCGTCGCATCGATATCAAGCGTCGACTTGGCGAAGTGGTCATGGTCGCTTCTCAGGTGGAGGGTCGCTACCTGAGAAGCGACCATGACCACTTCGCCAAGTCGACGCTGGTGGAGGGTCGCCATCGTCGAGGTCTTTGCACGGTTTCTTTCGCTTCGTTAGAGGCTTCCAAACCTTCTCTGACATTTTTTTTTCAAATAAACGTCTTGTTTCTGCTTTCATTTGCGCTTGTCGCATCTATTCAAGAAGAATGGTTCTGCACTTCAATTGTATGAATCTGTTTCATTCTAAACTTCAAGAAACATTCAGCAGAAAGGTGCCAAAGACGTATGAGGTGCCCGTAAGGAACTCAGCGCATTGTTGGAAAAGGCTGAAAAAATGCACAGAATGCAAAAAAAATGCAGCACATATTCATATTTTCACAAACTGCAACCCTTGTACATGCTTTTTCGCGAGAAATAACAGTCATTTGTCTCAAGACTGAGCAATTACTCGTGAGGAGTAAAGCATTAGCCTGGGTTTTCATCACACCTTCATAACGAATATTTCAGTCAGTATTGAAATTTCATCTTTTCTTCTACTGGCTCATTTGCCTATTTACCATGATGGAAGACCAACAAGGTACTACATGAAACTCTACAAGTCGTTGTTTCGATAAAATTGTCACTAAAAACTGTTGTTGTGACTATTAGTCGGGAGGGGATAAGCTTTTTGTTCTGCACCCAAGAACCGTAAAGCTTTTTGCTCTTACTGCCTACTACTGTTCTGGAATTTTTGAAGTGCTCTCTCCGAGTTGTTCTGGGTTGGTAAAGGTCTAGAACTTAATACTTGCGAAAATCCAAAAAACTATTCAACCTAGTTCTCTTCAGAGTTACAATTCAATGATCGGATTCCAGCGCACTGCATACACCTTCCATAACACTTTCTCGGCACCCTTTTTTATCGGGGTTTTGACCCACTCCCATGTTTTCGAATATAACCGGTTTCGACTTCCTATAAATACCACTGAGTAACTCTCCAATTCGAAAACACCGAAAACTTCAGTGGGCATGAGTATACTGTAGTGTAGGCGGCAAGAACCTCTTCAAATTGTTTCTGACGTCCTATAACAATGTAGCATTGAAACGAAAATTCGTATACCGTAACAGGTAAAGTACGGAGTGGATTCGTGACTGTGAGGCATCGGTTTTTCCCGAAGGTTTCAGCTTCTACTTGCAAATGTGATTTAATTCCCGTCATAGGTTTGCACACATTGCGCATCATGCTTGTGGCTATGTCCATAGTATTCGCCCTCCTCGCAATGGTTACAGGAACGGCATGCTTTTTCTATCCTTTCCTCTTTGTCGTAGTGAGTGAAGTACTGCTTCGAAATACTATCATTGATAGCATCATAGTGTTACCGATCAAACGCTCCCGCCTAGCACTCTAAATAGCAACCACAATTGTTTCAGATTTTTGAGTTTGTCAAATCGCTGGCTTGGTTTGGTCTTCTCGCGCTGAAGCTTAGCTGGCCTGCAAAATATAAGGCTTTGATCAAAGAAAAAGGTGACACTTGGGCTATGTTAGGTATGGCTTGGTATTATTTCGATTTGTTTTCAATTCACAGTTGTCGATGCTGAATGAACAATTGATAATCCAGGGCTGGAGCCGCTACAAGATTATATTAAAAGTACTAAAGAGGACGATGAAATTCTATACTTATGGTTTGGCTTTTGCTGCTTTTATTTCGCTCTACTGATCATTACACTTATCAAAACAATTACGGAATATCAGTTAGATGAGGTGAAAACTGTTTCATTATATGGTGTAGAACTACGTTTTTTCTGGCGTGACGCCTACCCATCAACCAGTAAATTGGTGTGTCGATTTTTGCCTTTATCAGTTCGTAGGCTCCTTGGTCTACCGTGGAGCTGCAAAACTCCCCTAGATTGTGATAAAGGTAATGATAAAGAAAATGTCAGGTGCCAGTAGTAAGAAGGTGTAATAGCTTGAAATCCAGTACCATGTGATTATAGTGACAGCATTAGGGAGGTGCAGTAGGATCGAAATTGTCGCATTGCGGTGAGAGAGACGCTGCGCGCGAAGGAATGTAGCAGAATGCGATAGCTAGTAAGAAATACATTAACAAATAACTAGCAGTGAATCATGCCTAAAGTAATAATCGCATAGCGATTGAGCTGTTTGAGGAACGCTAGAACTGTTATAACGACGCAAATGGTCCGCGACAGCCGCGTGCGGCGGGATCGATTACACAAAACCGTTCCTACTGCCCGTCTCCCGTAGTGCTAAGACAGCCTAGACCATGACATGGCGTTACTTCGACATCGTGACGTTATAGCAAATTCGATAATTTGATTAGGGTTAATATTTACTGAAAAGGTCCGGATAATCATAGCTGAGCTTTATTCTGCCGCACAGTAACCAGAATGGTGGGGAGTATAAGAGGTAGGTGAGAGCCTCAGCGCTATGGTGAGAGCCTCAGCACTCGGTATTGATAGGCATGTGAGCTGTGAATGAGTTGCAAAATCATACGAGCGTGTGAGACCAAATGTTTTTACAAGTGAAGCCGCTTGAAAGAGGAAGAAAATAAACTCCGGTCTTCTGAAGTGGTGCCCACTCACTTCCAAAGTTACTTAGATCTAGCTTGATACATCACCCTTCAGTTTTGGGTAGAAAACGAAAGTTTTGAAAATCGTAAGAATAATCCATGACAAACGGGTTCACCGTGCCAGTCACGTTACTTTTTTTACCAATTAAACGCAGGCTTGGCTCCAGTCCATGAAAAAATCTGTTTCACCAATGATCCTCATTTAGCATCGTCGTCAAAATAATCCCTACGTCTTCCCAGCAGTTGGACCCTATCCTCATGTTGTTGTTCTACCAGCAGAGCCAGAAATGGGAAACACGAATCCCGATGATCCTCCACCATACTCGGTTTGGCATAGTTTATGGACATACTAAAATGTTCACTCAACACTTTTCCACTAGCTAAAGTTTCACTGTTGAAGACTATAGTCCGAAATGATGGCGATTCTGAGGAGACAGCGAAGGAAGAGACACTCCCTCCTCGATATTCCGATTTGGAGCTCAGCTCGACTACAACTTCAACGAGGTGGGTACATTTGCAAGTGTCTGTGTCTACAGAACCTGTCATGCATGCTTTAGTTCTGTAACATCTGAACGGTTGGGAAGCAACAATCGAAAGACTTCTAACAACGTCAACAGAACGATCACTATACGAAAACGATGACTACATTATATCAGAAATACCTTTGTTCATTACGTTCCACAACGTTCTTATACTCGTAGCGAAAATCGAAGCATTTTACAGCTTTTGTCTGAATGAAATTGAGCATGTGTAGTAGCAATCTGAGGACTCATTGTGTCAGCAGTTTCTTGCTATTTCTAAAATTTTGTAGAGCATTAAGAGACCAGGGTCGATGTTAAGAACACATATTTCGAAGTCCCTTCCCCACATGCTTATCATCTGACGGAGGCAGATGAAAGGTGAACCGGTGCTTGTCCATACGAGAAAGTAGCGGTGTGTCTCTCCCTCACGCGTTCGCCCGATCTTGCTCACATAGTGCGGGATTGGATGACTATAATATACAGTAAGTCGTTGTCGACAGCACTTCTGCCAACACTACATACATTAAGAAATATGTGAGCTGGGAGATTTTCTCCAGTTCGCTGACTTTTGATGGTGAGGTGCGGCTTGGTGAGTAGCGTGGTGAGACCACGTCCAGCGTATGTCACCATGCAATCATCTCTGTCAGTCCTAGGCACTTCAAGCACAAGTTGTACTGGGATTCCATACTTTAGCACTGACGTTACAGGTGTGAATTCCTGCAACCGTTAACATTGTCTATACGCCCTCTTCTCAGTATCAGGAGTTCTGATTGTACGGGTATATGGATGGTTTTGTGTGATCAGGTATTATCGCATTTGCAAACAGGATTCTTGGTAGAATGACGTCCTCTTGTTCCCAGAGCGTTCCCTTTGTGCGGATGCATTTCAATAGTTATGATATAATCACAATTTTCCGTCCCTAAACGATGTGGATTTCCTCTAATAGCAAGCAATCTGCGGTAGGTAACTGTGAACATGAGTCATGCTGTGAGGCAGTTTTGTGGCGAACATGGTGAGAGACTACAAAGGTTCGCTTATTTTCTGAACTACTTCTCCGAATTCGACCAACGTCTCCTCTGCTCTAGATTCTGTTTTTCATTGCGTGGAGAAAGCAGTAAATTTTTGAAATCGAAACCTAACCATAAGATCGCTATCAATTGAGAGCATCCCGCTTCCCTTGTTTGGGAAGATCTCGTTATCGACAACGGTTTGTCGAACATCCTCGCGAGAGTGCTATGAGAGCAAAGAGTAGGAAAATTTCCAGGAGATGTCTCCTTTCGGACTGGTACTGCTACACCTGAGTGGAGTCGCGCGAGGTGCAGACAACCAACGGTTAACTTTCGAACTCGCTCTATCGAATTCTGCAGAACTGCTCCTCTTTTCACTTTTAGTGGGAAGAGCATGATATATGGTATCGTGATTGGCAAAGCCTTCTGGAGCATTGCATATCACAATACCAAGATTAGCTTCCTTTATCGTCTCGTCCAAACAGTTACAACATCTCGAAAGCAATGGAGGAGGTCATTTACGACCTCTACCCAGAATCTCTTCGACAGCCTCATCTACTTGACTACTCACCATCTCAAGCATGATTGATATGGTGGGTAGTCAAGTAGATGAGGCTGTCGATGAGATTCTGGGTAGAGGTCGTAAAGATATGGTGGGTAGTCCTCCCTTCAATTCTTCCTTCCCAATTCTGACATCACGTCGGTGAAGAAGCGCACAGCGTCCGGTACTGATAGGATTAAACCAGAACAACCTAGGAGCTGAATGGGTATCCAAAGCAAGACAAGCAAGACTGCTTTGGATTTGTGGTACCGATCATCCGTGGCCAGTGACCGAGCCGGGTGGTCCTGAAAGGCGCCGCAGGCGTTCCCAAGATATCGTGATATGATAGACTCAAACACACAGTCATAAGACTCGTTGAGGCATCACGAGGAAACAGGATGCCGTTCTGTTTCATGTTCATCGAAGAGACCTTATATACTGTCGAAACAGGGGTGGTAATTTAAGGTTTGGGCAATTGTGTTCCTACTCGACATATAAGCGTATTTAGTAAGCACTACATTCCTTTTACGACAAGGACGTCGCCACACTATCAGGAAGCCAATGACAAATTGAAGAGAAGAGCATCAAGAGCGACGGCATTGCGCCCAAACTTTAGCGCCGCTCTCGAGGACATCACTTGCCATTTAGAATAAGAAGACAACGGAGTGAAAGTCGACGGCCTAGATTCCTTGCAGACGATATCGTGCTAATAACCCGAACATCGTCTAGGGCACGTGCGAAACAGAAGCAAAATTATATCTTCGACTTATCCTCCTCCCCTCCCTTAATTTCGAAAATTATTCAAAACGGTAGCACTTAAAGTATTTCATAGAGCAGAGGAACAAATGCTGTTTGATAGCGGTTAAGCCGAATTGGAGGAAGACCTACATACTCTTTCAATTCTGCGTGATTGAAACATTAATGCTTTTGCTACATGCATCTAGATCGAGAACTCAACACTGGATGTCGCGGAGGCGTGGGAGCATTTGAGAAGAAAGAGTGATGAAGACAAAGAACGCCTCGCCCCGCACTCACTCTTTGACGCTGAGGTCTTTCTTGCTTTGACACAGACCTCGTACACTTGGACTCTACAAAACAGCGCCATTCAGACGAACACTGTCCTTCCCACAAGGCGATGTTCGAAATCTTCTGTACTATGTAGCAAGTGCAGAGAGGATCCAGAGTACAAGCTTCTTCATCGGAGGAAGATCAGGGATGTAGATGTTTAAGTGATAAAGTCTAAGATCAAGTGCTTTGGACATGTCAGCGACTTCTTCATGACCGTTGGACCAGGGCAGTTATTGAGAGGGGAGAGAAAGATCAAACCGTGTTTGTCGGAGCCATAGATTTATTCTCACTTACACTTAGATAACGTTAGTCCAATCGGCTTCTATCCATGTAATGAATAGGGTTAGCAAGAAAGTTTTGCGACCTAAAAAAAATATGAAAAGGTTGTTGATTGCTTTGGTGAATATATTTCCATAATTTAATTGATCTAGAAAATTTTAGAAACCAAATCAAAATGGCTTCCATCTGGGTCCGGACTTTCTTGCCAACCCTTTATATATAAGACGAATATCAAACTGCGCCGGTTTTCGTAAACTCCTTCGAAACATCACCTTCTATTGCCTGTTGCCTGTTGGCGTACTTCATCAACCTTTTTCTTTTTCCATGTCCAAAAAAGCTGCATAGAAAATAGTGGATGAGCACACTGAAAGCTGTTGGTATCGGAGCACCTATAACGGTATGTTGGGTGCTTTTCGGATGCTCTATCGAATTCCTATTCATGTCCCATTCTAAGTGGCCCTGTAGGCTCAAAAACGGTGAACAAATTGAGTATTAAGGTGGCTCCATTCTAAAGCGGTTAACGAATATATTGTTACACAGGCGTGAAAATAGTGAAGCTTGTGCTAGTGAGATATATTTTCTGCAAAATTCCTTGGCCACATCAGCTAGTTCCAATGACGTTCATTTCAAGGACATGTTTGAGTTATAAACTCCGTGTTCAATCGAAGTTGGCGATTGATTGCAAGATGGACCCCCCGACCACCACTCTACGCAAAAAATTGTAGGGCCTTCCGATTCCGTAAAATGTCATGACGCTGTGTTTATAAGATATCGTCGAAACGCAGAGCATCCAATGGTGAGGACTCGTAAACAAAGGCTTGTAGGTTGAGAGCGATTGTCACGAATGACACTGTTTCTCGCAACATTCCTTTGATTAAAAGCAAACGACGCCATTAGTCACCAGTTGACGTTGGCGGTTCGCCTTGTCTCCGCTACCATCAGCGCTATTTATCCGCAATTACAGTTCCTTTTTTGTCAGCTCGTTTCCTTCTAATGACGTATAAGGAATTTTCGTCTTGAACTCCACTTGAACACAACCTTTTATGAGATTGCACATGAAGACAATAATTACGTGAGTAAACCCCATACTTCGAGGGGCCCAGATCAAAACTAAGCGAAATAAAGGAGCGAGTTATGAAAAAATTGAGAACATTCCCAACGTAAAGGACATTCTAGAAAATCGCGACTGCAGTACAGTTTCTTGCAAATGGCATAAGGGTTTCTATAGCCGGCTCTATTTTTTGTTTCAGTTAACATTCCCTACCTCTGCACAGTTTGTTGCTCTTACCACAAATTTTGTGCTCCCCCAATTCTTTTAGCTTGACACTGAAGGATGGAAAACAATGTCAAAAACCTAAAAAGCGGAACGAAATGAGTCAGCTGCTTAAAATACAAATGCCTTGACCCATAGATGCGAGGCATTTTTGTAGGACCGGGAGGTTCAGCCCAGGGTACTTTCGGCTTCAGAAACTATCAATGTTGTGGCATAGTCTCCTCAAAGGCAGCTTGCACTAACCTGTTTTCTTGCAGTTCCTTACTGTTGTTTTTTCGGGCCAAACTTCCTCAACATTACAATCCTTCACCGCTTCCATAAAATAATAAACCAATCCCTTTCAGTAACAATATGAATTCCAAGAACATTGTGATACCCATCCTGAATGTTGAAAAAAAGAGACGGAAAAAACCTGCTTTAGCACACTGATTTCATGTTTTACATCTTTTTCTTTAATCTTCTTTAACAAATTTAGCTTTCTTCCCATTTTCTATAGTTCGTTATCTACAGGGGTGAACAAATGAGGTACTGTTCACAGCATATCCATAATGACACCCCATCAAGGTTTACATGTGATGGGTTGAGACTTAAGAGAAAGTTGAATGGACGCCCAAATTTCACCGAGTTTTCGAAGAAGCTCTTTATTGATAGCTAAACCAAATGGCATCAGTCTTCCATGAAATCTTGAACGTCCTGATGATTGGCTATCTGGCTACTCTAAAAAAGCTGAGTATTCGTCTAGAAGGCAGAACCATCTTGATTTAGACCTCTACCTTCAGAAGTGTTCTTGAAAAAGACGAACCCTCTAGATGCTCCTTTGACAGTATGCTACTTTTTCCAGAATACGACTAGCAAATATTCAGTACATCGTTTAAA